TTTACCGATATTTCGTTTATTTATAGAAATAGAGCTCTTAGCTTGCCTCAGGAAATGATTTATTTGTAAAGAATTTGGGAACAACAATACTTAACAGTTTTAATTATATTCCCTCCAAAATAATCGTCTGACATTGATTTTTTTTCATCCAACAGGTGGTTTGTTTTAGAATACGACTGTGCGCAATGCCTTAAATTGTAATATGATGCTCATTTTTAATAACGTAACAGACAAAAGAAGTGATTTTTTATAAAAATTTTCGAAATTAATGCGTTTATTTTGGTTAACTTTGTTCTACAATTGCACCAATGAGATAATGGCAAAAGTAGAAAAATGAAACGTTCACTATTCAGCATGCTGTCAAAAGCAAATGTTAAAGATATGAACGAAAATAGCTACGCATTAATAATTTGGATTTTACATTGTGGATATGTATATTTTATTGCGTTATTTAATTTTCTAAAACTTATTGTAATGTGAATTTTTTGTTGCTTTTTATGATATAGCTAATTAAATCAAAGCTTACAGAATTAAAAGTATCATTTGAAATTGAAAGTCTTTTGTATTGTAATGATAAATCATATTGATGAAGTGTTCAGGAAAAAAAATTTTAAGAGCATTTTTAGCGAAAAACACCACGATTTCTATTTAAGTAGTACGATATTTCCAAATATTGTGCTGCTTTCTAGTGCTAATTCTGAAAAGATTTGTTGAATACCCATTTAGCAACAATAAGAAGGAATAGTTTGATATTAAAATGCCGCTTTTAGGATCAGTAAGGGTTAACAAGACTATATTATCACCCCAAGCTCAAGTTCTGTTTTCCAAGAAGAATTACACCGCTACATTTAAGCTAAACACATCAAAATAGTTTCAAAAAAATATATTGAGATATCATATAATTCTCATATCTTTTTTTTTCTAAATGAAAACTTGTTTTATATTGATACAAAGTGCAAAAAAAAAGTTTGGAGAATATTGGGAGGGGAGGTTCATGTCGATATTGCACAAAACAAATTGCTGGTGCATGTATTTCAAAACGGATTAAATTCAAAAAAGCAAAAAGATTAAGAAATCGAAATTTAAAATTTTGAAAATTAAAAAGTCGAAAATTTAAATTCAAAATTCGTGTATTTTCAATAGAGATTGTGAACAATTTAACAAAGAGGCATACGGAATATTGCAAAATGGTCCAAACAAATATTAAAAATTTGAAGCGAAAAGAACCGTAGAACGTGTTAAACCATTTAAAATGCATTAGTAGAAGTTTAATTTGCAAAAATAGTTACAACAGCGGATTTTTTTCTCTTTGGGGGGGGGATGTACACACTAAACTTCACAGAACAGTAGCGATTGTTCTAAGAACATGAAAGTTGCAAACTACAGATAAAGCATGATCCAAATCGGAGCACACTTCATTGAATATTTAGAGTACATACATGCATGAAGTCAGGCAGATTTAAAGTATTAAATCTATAAAGACTTAAACTTGCTTTTTTTACTCTCTACGTTATTTTCTGAAATTTAAAACAGAGATAAAATCCTTCGAAATAAACTTCTCATCTGCATTCCTTTCAGATAATTTCCGTGATTAATTTACAAATAAAGCAAAAAATATAATAACAATTATGTACGTGAGATCTTTTACTAATGTATTTGTGGTTAATAATTAATACAAATAGTAAGATATACAAGTAATATTTATAACAACTTATACTAGTTACGAATAAAAATTGTTTATATCAAATGTTTAAATGAACTAAATTACTTTCGAAAAGTTAGAAACCGCAAATAAAAAAATGTAAAAAAAGTCTTGCGAAATAAGCATAAAATAACTTTATTGACTTTTTTGATAAAAAGAACGGAAAAAACTAATCGAGTTAGCATAAGAACAAAGGATCGCTTGAGAAAAAACTAATTTATTTTTGTTACTTTCAGCTATAGTCTCGATTGCAGTTTATTATTGGAAATGGTGCGTAAAACAGTTCGTTTTCTCTTAAAGAGTTTTAACTGACAAAAAGAAAGTAATTTCCCTACACCTAGGGAAAAGATTCATTTATTTGTCTCCAGGTAGGGAAATAGCTTTTGTCTGCGACAGTAATGAAGTGTTTAAGCGGTTCGTTTTCCCTTTACAGTAACAAAGGGGAATATATGCATATTTAGAATTAAAGAATAAAGACATTAATTTATTTATAAATAGTTTCGAAATCGAACGATTGATGTTGCCAACATATTTGCTAACATTAATTTGAAAAAAATATAATATTTTATGATTATTTTAAACTTAACTCGGCAAAATTTCAGTCTACACTTTTCTATATATTTTTCACATTTGATTTAACTATAATGAAACTAAATGTGAAAAGATTTTATTAAACTTCAAATCAATTTTTAGCAATGGTAAAAGAATGGTATCGTTCGTAAAAGTGTTAGTTTTCTTAAATTATTGCATTAAAAAATAATACCACCTCTATCTTCTTAAAGCTATCACATTTTAAACATTGTATTTATTACATCTTAAACAAAACCATCTATGCATTTTATATTATTCTACAATATTATTCTGTGTATTAATCTCGTTATTATTCAATGTATTTTACCTTATTACGTTATTAAACATTTAGTATACTGATATTTTTCCCAAAAAATATTAAATAGATTATAATTCTTTTGTTCCTTTAAATCGATGTTAAATTTAAAGTTTAAAGAATGTAAAATATTTTTGAAATTCCATTCAGACTAGTGCACTTTTAAAAGCAGACGATATAAGAAATGAAACTCCGAATTTCGAAATTAATCAGAATATATTTTATATTGTCATAAGCCACATACTTTATCCAAAGAATGTATTAAATTCCTTTCTCGGAAATAAAATTACTCAGTTACAAACATTTTTATCAAAAAATAAAGAAAACTACAAGCCTCAAAGACATGATATAAAATTTTAAACACTTTATGGCCACGGTCAGGCAAGTTCCCAAGTATAGACTCGTTACTATAGCAACGGTGAAGTTCGCGTTGCCTAGACAACCACGTAATAGCTTCAAAAATGATTTTATTCCAGGTAATTTTTTGAAAACAGCCATCACATGAGCGTGGGGCACAAAAATTTTAATTTTTTTTTATTCTTTCGTTTCTCCTTGCGTGATTTTAGCTATATATAAACTTCTTTTTTTTTTCACTACTTAACCCTCCTTCGCGAAAATGAATTAAAAAGAACCGTTTCATTTAAGATTCGAGTATAAGCAGCAAGACTTTTTTTTCTTTCTTCATTTGTTTATTCTAGCGTTTTTTAATGCATTTAAAACTGCGTTAACGCAGCGCTTTTAAAACGCTTTCCATCGAAATTTCACTTGGTTTAAACCAAGAGTTTTACTTCGTGTTATTTGTACTTAAAAGGAAGAAGATGGAAAAAGGAAGAAAAAAAAACTTAAAAATTCTTAAATTGAAAATCTTATTTTATACTTTTTTATTGCGCAATTGCTTTATGGTTCCTTTTGCAATTACATAAGATTTTTCCTTAAAACGCTGCTAATAAAATGAAAGTTTACTTTTCGCTGAATTAACAGAACAGAAAGACTCGTTTATCAATTTATGATTTTTTTCCAATCTCCCGCGAGCTAATTTCGCCTTTAACGAAATAGCATTTCCTATTTATTTCATTAGAGAAAACTTCTTATTTTATTCATTATTTTTTGTGCTAATAGTTCTTCAATTTACTTTGTGGACTTCATGGTGTATTAAACACCAAAGTTGAAATTGTGCTAATTTTTTAGGCGAATCTTTCGAAATCGCTTTGATTTATCAAGAAATTTTCCTAATGTTTTTTTTTTCCTTTCGTAATTAAACATTAACTTAAACAAATCCAGTTGATATTCCACAAATTTTTCAAGATTAATGAAATAATACCTTTTGATAAGAAGAAAATTAAATTTAAAAAGGAATTTTTAAATCAATGCTAATTAAAAATAAACGCGCAATTGCACGATAAGTACTTTTAAGTTTAATGCATTTTTTTAAAAGAAAGCAGTTTTAAGCTATACTCAATTATAAAGTTATTCTTAACGTTATTCAGTAATATTAGATGCTTAAGAATTTTTATTGTTTGTTTGGTTTTTAAAATTCTTTGGGACTATAATTATGTAGCATATTTTCAATGCTGTAAATTATGCTTCATTAAATTTTTATTCTGAAAATTTTGTTAGGTAAATTTAAGAATAAATTATACTAGTGGTTTCCGTCCCATGCTCGCAGGCGCTCTACAACCTCCGAAGCTATCTTACTATGATATCTTATATGGTTTGCTGAGCAAACCATGCTTGCTTTGCTAGTTACTGTCTTAAATTACATCCATTTGGAATGTGTTCTAACGTAATATTTTACGAATTTAGGTCACTTATTAAAACCTTTAAAACTCATTCCTCCTGAAAAAATTAAAATCTTTAGTCAATAAAAAGTTATTGAAATAAAAAAACATTAAAGTGATATAAATTATATGCAATCGAAAAACTCGCAAAAGCATCACAATAATTATGTTTTTAAGAAAACAAAAGCGCCCGACTAATACTTATTTTTCAATTAATGATGAGAAAAATGAACAAAATTATTATTATTGAACATGCATAAATGCATACAATTAAAACATAATGTCGAACACTTTGCTGGTTGATAAGAACTATTCGCTTTTAACCTTTAAATTCTTACCAACTTAGAGCTCAGTTTGCTTCCACTTTTTGTTGTTCATATGAGAAAATAACCTCATTTAGAAATCTGAAAACATATACATTTACACTTTCATGCTTATGACAACTCACAAGCTCGATATTTCAATTCTTTATTGCCAACACAAAGAAAAATTGCGGGCATTTTTTATTACCTTAATATATATATATATA